TTAATCGGTTTCAATATTTTTACGTGCAGTACAGTCCGTGTGTTTTCTACTGCAATTTAACTTTCAATATTCTTTGCTTTTTGTCGTGCACGCGCTTGTCTGCTGCGCGTCCGTTTACTTGTAACTTTCTGAAGTAAGCTTGTTGCTATGCAACGAGTCGATTGTAAGCATGAAATGAGAAAATGGAAATACTGTGCTGTATTGGATTTCAAGTTGAACAGTAAATAGGCCTACGAGTTATTTTTGTGTCGGGAAAAGTATGTATAACTTGGTTAATTATTTATCTTTTGTAATAATTATTATTATTATCAGTGTATTTATTATCTAATTGTTATTGTTATTACCTACAGAATTATCATCATCATTGTAATCACTTTATATAGTGATTATAATAATATAATGGTTATGATTATATTTTTTATTGTTAACAAGGACTTATAATTGTTAACAATTATAAGTCGTTGTTATTACAGTGTTGTTTTATTCAATTAGGGCCTATTTTTATTTTATTAATTCTGGCAAAACAGACAACAAAATAAAGATACAAAAAAAAAAATCATAAAGTCACAAACATAAAGAATAATTAGCTGCGCTAGGGGCCAGCAAAAGCGGAACCACTGTCATTTCATTTTAGAGGTGACGTGCTGCTCCCTAAAAATGGAATAAAATAATAATAATAATAATAATAATAATAATAATAATAATAATAATAATGATAATTATTATTATTATTATTATTTTTATTATTAGGCTTATTATTATTATTATTATTAATGATAAATCAAAATCGAACATTTAAAAATCATTAAAATATTTTTTTAACTTACATTTAAACAAAATAAAATTAATAGATATAATAAAATAATTTTGAATATCCTTATGGAGGTTACTCCACAATCCAGTTCGAACTGAAAATTTTGAAGAGTCAGTTTTAGATTTTAAATGTTTAAATGTTAAAAGTTAAGGATGACGATTATTAATAATTAATTTTAAACTCGCATGGGAGGAATAACGTAAACGATAAATATTTAATGGCCGATACTAAAACATTGTGGAATACTGGGCAAAATCATCAATCCATCACATAAATGCCCTCCAGTACGTACCGCTATTTTTACAACGCCTTTAAATTTTACAGCCAGCCTAAATATAGTCAAACATTATTTTTCCTACCAATTGACTACGGTCATCTTGATAAATGCCCTGCTTCGAGGCTCAGTTCCGCATATTTTTTTTTAATCCTAAATTTATTTTTAGAGCACATTACCAATTTTTATCCTGATCGTTTCGAAATAATTTTGCCAGGGCAAACATCATTTCTCACATGTAGATTTGCACACATATAGTCCGTATACCAATAGTACTGTACCATCTTATCCAGTCTTATCAAGGTTCTTGGTAGTACTGTTCTCAGTACTATGTCTCAATTTCTATATGACAACTGATGTGTGGCATGTCTTAGGCCCTACTTTATAAATATATATGCCTGACACCGATGATGATATCATAAGTGTATGTCTACGAACGACGCATTGCCTGTTATGAAATATAATTAAATTAAACATTTAATTTTATATCTATATTCTTCACTTGTGAATTTGCAATTAATTTTTAATAACTTTAAAATAAGTTCGAATGAGGAAAAATATTCCCCGATATTAAAAAGTAAAGAATAACTTTCCTATATTCAATTATAGATCCTGTAATTGACTCAATTATCTTTATACTTATTATGACATTGTAAATTTCAATAATAGATTTAATAAGGAAGAGCCCTCAACCGATGGTATTGTTACAACTAAAACTGTCTTTCAAACTGTCGGTGAGGATTACAGCATATGGGAGGAGCAGAAAGATGTAGACGGTATGATTCTATAAATAAGAAACTTGATGTACACCGGTAATGTCGTTTAACAACCTTCAGAACATTTTAAAATATTTACAATAAATACTTAGGCCTATTTTGATAATTCAATTTGATATATATTTTTTCGATAACTTCTCATTGTTGTGCCATAATTCTACAGAGATTGAACGAACTAAACAGGTACGCGAACACGCTATCGCTACGAATGTAGCAAAGACGTTCGATTTTACTGCTTCTACGTCCTCATCTGATCCCAGAATATTAGCATCTCCATCTACGTCCGCATTTCATTTCGAAGGAACATCAGCTGCATCTGTATCAGAAATTGATCCCAGAAAAACGTCATCTCTTTCCCCTGTGTTTATCAGACGGTTTAAAGGTAGATTTTTATTAATGTTAATCTAGTTTTGCTCGACTTTTTTTTTTGGTGTTTTTTTTTATAAGTTGTGAGTTCATAATTATGATCCATCTTTATTTATGTTTGTGTTTCGTTCAGTGGAGTGACGATGGCGTGGGGATCTGTGGATTTGTGGGACAAATTCCCTCGTCGGACAGGCTTGTATTTCCTTTCGTCCGACGCCACAACGATGCCGTCGGATGAAAAATTTAAAAATTATTATTTGCCTTTGGTATCCAAATAACGTTATTTTGATTGCCAATCGTGGTGGTCTAAAAGCACAAGGCGCTAATGCACTTTAATACTCCACCCTAACCCTAACATGAACAATAACATAGCAAGACTACAATTGAGGTTAAGGTTAGGGTTAGAGTGGAGTACTAAAGTGCATTAGCGACAAACACAATTCGGACCATGCTAAGCCCTGAAAATTCTCCTGTGAACACTACCAATTTGGAACCAGAACCGAGGCCTTATAGTTGGTCCCTTTGGTTCGGATCACACGTCCGACATGTGAGACCCCTTGTAGGCAAATTTCTGGAGCCACCGCTTGGTCCTTTTTAGGTCTCATTCCGTAATTTCATAGTGGAATTTTAGATGTGCTCGTTTTTTAGTAATGTTTGACTTTGTTATTTTTAACGACGAATAAAATGATATAATATCAGTGGTGGATCTAGAAATTTGAAATAGAAGACCAGGGAGAAACCACATCAGCCCTAGTTGGGGCTGAGGTAATAAAGTTTGTAATTGTGGCACCTCTGGATGGCGGGAAATGCCACAGATTTAAAATTGTGAAATATCTCCATTAAACAAAAAAACAAAAAAAAATGACAAATTCAGCTGGGGCCCCGGGCCGGCAGGACGCCCTTTAATCCTCCACCATATATGTAGGCCTATGTCCCACAGTCGATGTCAGAGATACATTATGCTATTATGTATCCATAAAACCTTATTTGGTCAAAGTTATAGATCGAGGACCATATGGGTGGGGACGGTCGGGGCCGCATAGGCATGCTCTCTCCACATGCAGCGAGTGTTGATTATTTAGATGATCCCCAAGTCATTCCCCAACACTACAGGATGGCATACTATCTCAACAGATGATCGTTTGATAATTTAATTTAATATACTACCTTATATTCATATTATGTTCTCATCATGATATTTTTAAAATGTTCAACTTTTATATTCAATAATTAAATACTGGTGATCTTCAGTGCTACATGCAGGCTAGCCTAGGCCCTAGGTCTCATCTAGACTAGGCTAGGCCTGCCCTAGCCTAGCCTAAATAAAGCACGATTTATTGGCATTGGGGGTGAGTGACTTGATGCCTATGCATTCAACAGTTTTTTGGGCCCTTTGTTAAATATTAGAATGCCGACGTTATGACCAGGGAGATGTAAAACATAACCAGAGGCGATTTTGCAGCAGGGGTAATTTTTTTTTACCAGCAGTACTGAGTACATAAAAAAAATCAACATTTATTATTTATTTATTTAACATATTTTGAGAGGGTAGCTCTAACAACTTAATGCTACCCATGAAATTGCAAATCAACCTTCAATTTCATTGCCACTAATAAATTGGTTGCGTTAAATCTAGACTAAGATCGCTTAATTGATTTTGAATTGTGGAATAAATAAAGCATTCCTGTTTCCTCGATAGGCCTATGTGTAATATCTGTCTCTTATACACATTAACAATAACATAGCAAGACTACAGTTGAGGTTAAGGTTATGGTTCGGGTGGAGTACTAAAGTGCATTAGCGACAAACACAATTTGGACCATGCTAAGCCCTGAAAATTCTCCTGTGAACACTACCAATTTGGAACCAGAACCGAGGCCTTATAGTTGGTCCCTTTGGTTCGGATCACACGTCCGACATGTGAGACCCCTTGTAGGCAAATTTCTGGAGCCACCGCTTGGTCCTTTTTAGGTCTCATTCCGTAATTTCATAGTGGAATTTTAGATGTGCTCGTTTTTTTAGTAATGTTTGACTTTGTTATTTTTAACGACGAATAAAATGATATAATATCAGTGGTGGATCTAGAAATTTGAAATAGAAGACCAGGGAGAAACCACATCAGCCCTAGTTGGGGCTGAGGTAATAAAGTTTGTAATTGTGGCACCTCTGGATGGCGGGAAATGCCACAGATTTAAAATTGTGAAATATCTCCATTAAACAAAAAAACAAAAAAAATGACAAATTCAGATGGGGCCCCGGGCCGGCAGGACGCCCTTTAATCCTCCACCATATATGTAGGCCTATGATATAGGCCTATGTCCCACAGTCGATGTCAGAGATACATTATGCTATTATGTATCCATAAAACCTTATTTGGTCAAAGTTATAGATCGAGGACCATATGGGTGGGGACGGTCGGGGCCGCATAGGCATTACGCCTATGGTAGCATTAAATCTAGATCCAGGGCTCGATTTAGTGCTAGCCCGGCGTACAACGTCTAGTAAAAATAGCTAGCCTATTTACTACTCATGTTACCCGGTTGTCTAGTGAAAAATTAGAAAAAAAAAATTATTTAAAAAACGGAACTTTTGAGACGATCCCTGCACAAGAGGTACCGCAGCCCAAAGTACATTGTAGCTAGTTTTCAGCTCTCTCCACATGCAGCGAGTGTTGATTATTTAGATGATCCCCAAGTCATTCCCCAACACTACAGGATGGCATACTATCTCAACAGATGATCGTTTGATAATTTAATTTAATATACTACCTTATATTCATATTATGTTCTCATCATGATATTTTTAAAATGTTCAACTTTTATATTCAATAATTAAATACTGGTGATCTTCAGTGCTACAGGTAGGCTAGCCTAGGCCCTAGGTCTCATCTAGACTACGCTAGGCCTGCCCTAGCCTAGCCTAAATAAAGCACGATTTATTGGCATTGGGGGTGAGTGACTTGATGCCTATGCATTCAACAGTTTTTTGGGCCCTTTGTTAAATATTAGAATGCCGACGTTATGACCAGGGAGATGTAAAACATAACCAGAGGCGATTTTGCAGCAGGGGTAATTTTTTTTTACCAGCAGTACTGAGTGCATAAAAAAAAATCAACATTTATTATTTATTTATTTAACATATTTTGAGAGGGTAGCTCTAACAACTTAATGCTACCCATGAAATTGCAAATCAACCTTCAATTTCATTGCCACTAATAAATTGGTTGCGTTAAATCTAGACTAAGATCGCTTACTTGATTTTGAATTGTGGAATAAATAAAGCATTCCTGTTTCCTCGATAGGCCTATGTGTAATATGTGTAAAATATCAACGATAATAATATTAGAATTATAATTATCAATATCTTTATCATCTTTATCATTATTATCATCATCTTCTTTGTCATCAGTATCATCCTCAACATGTTAACCATCATTATTATCAGCATCATCATTAAAGTTATCACCACCCTCACCATCATCGTCACCATCACCATCATTATCATCGTTTATTATTATCACAATCATCATCTTAACAATGAATACAACTTCCGTCATCACCACAATAAATTACATTAAAAAATAAACAATTCATTACAATATCACACTTTCATTCTAATTCTTATATACATGACTTACCATAGTAATCATGACCTCTACATACATGATTTGCCTTAATAATATTTTTGTGTTTGTCTTACATCTGACCAGTAGTATATAAACCGGTAGTAGCTTAAGCATTATCACCTGATGATCTGTCTCTTATACACATCTAGATGTGTATAAGAGACAGCTTTAATCCTCGCAGATAGACCGAGAGAGCCCCTCGATGGCAAGCATTCTTTAATTAGGCAATCCTTAAGTAGCTCCTATTATTTTTGCAAATAAAGGATATGTGACGACCAGCAAAAATTAAATAAATACGTATATCAAAATGTAATTTAAATCCGTCTAGGGTATATAGATTTTGCTCTTTAAATTTGAATATGAGCGAGCCCTATACAAATCTTATGTTATTATGGAACAAAATTTTCAAAAGTGAGTAGCTCGTAACATTAATATGCATTTAACTTGTAAACTATTAGTGGCAAAAAAGGTGGGGGGGGGGAGGTGAGGGCGTAAGTAGCACTTCCTTCTATTCCTCAACCGGATTCGCGTTTGGATTTTATAAAACGATAAAACGTTGAATTTCTTAATCTTCCATGTTTGCTTGTGGATTTTTATGGAAGCAGAGGCTTTAAAATCGAAGAAAAATATATGAAGTGAACGATTATACGCGACTATGGACTATAGATCGCAAAGCGTATATAAACTAGGCCCCTATATATATTTTTTTAGTATAGCACAATCAGTACAAATCCTTATACAGTTATGCAATTACTAATTTGTGCATTGCTGCGACAATCTATCATCATTATGCACGCAGTACTGAAAGGATGTGATTGTATGATATTGTGTTTATAGAAACAGTTTGGCGCAGCGGGAACGGGTGTCAATCCCTCGCTGTGCATTTCGCTTGTGTCCTTGAGCAAGATACTTTACTTGCATTGCTTCTCTCCACCCAGGAGTATAAATAGGTACCTGGTGGGGTTGCCTGCTCCTGTGCTGATTACCAGCAGCAACACTTAGCATGTGGACCCAATGACCAGGGAAAGGAACTGCGCTTATAATCACAAGGAAGAGACGCATTATAAATGCCCGTACCAGTACCAGTGTGTTGTATAACAATTGCACTGCACTGAATACAAAAATATTATTTTGCTGAAATTACTGCAGCAGCGGCGTGTAGGGGGTGTTAGAAACGCAATCATGTTCAAGTGGTGCGTTGTTAAAAAACACCTAAATTAACCTTATTTTGAGAGTTAGCGCCCCAAACTGATCATCGAGTCCCCCCACCCCTTCCCGCTTCACTTTCGGGCTTCCAATCAACTTCCCCACTTCAAGATTCCTAGATACGCCGCTGTTTACCTCTCTTTGTTATAAATACAATACTTTCTCACAGTTTGTATATCCTATTTCTTTCCAGATTTTTATTACAGAGGGAAATTCTTATGGAGTTGTTTTCAGTTTGGTAGATGCTTTGGATAAACTGGCAAAAAGAAGAGATCCCAAAAAAGTAAACCATTTAAATATTCTATTAAATTTAAGGAACTCAATTGTTTAACTTTATTTAGTTTAATCAATAATAATAAAAATGTAAAACAAATTATCAAATGCATTGAGTGGAATAAACCCATTCCTGAAATAATTAATTTCAGCCTGTAATTAATTGTATATCAATTTATCCATAACTTTATTTTAAAAATTATGCTGACGATATTGTTTATATGCAGGGACATTTTGAGATGACAAATCTGCAAATGATCATATTTTGGATAAGGCTGATATATGAGTATGCTGTACTGCTACATGGCTCAGAGGAGAAACCTTTGATCAATGGAATTATAGCATCTCCAACGATTAGTCTGATTGGGACGCACATGGACCTACTCACGGGGAGTGATGCTGAGAAGCAGACAGAGGTAATATATTGTAGGTCTGTGAGTGTTTACTATGTTATTTGTTTCAAAATTCATTGATATATTCATTTACACCTACTATAAATTCTTCTATTCAAAGGTTGATGACATGTTCGACAGAATATTTAAGGAGCTCGATGGAACACCATACGAACGTCACGTGGATCGTGAGAGGTATGCCGTAGACAACACCACAGCACTAGATGAAGGGATTCAAAGATTGAAAATAAACGTAGGCGGTTTCATGAAGGGAATGGCAAGAACTGTTCCAATAAATTGGATGGACTTCAAAATTGAGGTACAAGAAGCCGGGAAAACAACTTTGCGCATGTCCTTAGATAAGGTATTGTACGCAATAGTATTACAATATAAGAAACTCTTAATAAATTAATTTCTTCCAAGGCCGTAGGAAGCGGTTCGGCTGCTTCGGAAGGCCGTATATGCTACTCGAGTTTTCGGCCTAAAAATTCACAAATTAATATTGTTTGTGTGCCCAAATTGTAATTTTAACACAATGTAGTTTTTTTTTTAAACAAATATTACAGTATGGCCTGACTCAGCATGCACACACACACACATACACCCACCCCCACACACATACACACACGCACACACGGACGCAACTACACACGTAAGGGATATTTTGAAAGTATTTTTTCGTTGGCCGGACCAATACTTGCCTGATTTCCGGTATGTTTTGCATTACCCTACTTTTACATTGATTGAAGCCACATATTTCTGTCAATACATTTGTAATTTTAATAAACGAATCTTTACACTATGACTATAGAGCTATTTGGTGTTATTGCGCAACCGATTTACATGTTTCTTATATTTCTTTAGATCACTAAGATTGCTGTGAAATGCGGTATTAATAAAGAAAACGTCATCCACGTCCTCAATTACCTTAATGATGTTGGAATTATTCTGTATTCGCCCACTAACAAGAAGTTGGAGAACACAGTGATTACTAACATCCATATGCTGATTGGTATCTTCATGAAAATCATCACAGTTGTGAAACCTGATGATGTTGATAAGGTAGATTTAATTATTAAGTAAATGGTAAAACAGTGCTGGTGATGATCTACAC